TTATTCTAATCTTCAGTAATTATTATCTAGTGTAGAAACTGATTACAGGAGGTATATATACTGCACTTAAAGACCTTAGACGGTGATGTAACTAAATTCATAATATAAAAAATATAACATAGTTAAACCTATTATACAAATTATGCCTTGTGAATGTTTATACATTGAACAAAATAGTGACAAATGAAAAACAATACGTATGTTATGTTTACGAGATACAACGTTAACAGAATGTTTATTAAAGATGACAAAGAAAGGTTGATAACAAGTCACAAATATGAAAATTTATTATAATATTCTCGTTATCGATCATTAACTGTGTAGATATTAATAACGCTTATCAAAATCATTAAAATTCTAAAGAATTTTTTTTTCCGGGTGACTAATTTTGCGTCAAGGAAATCCATTATCAGCGTGTGAAACGAATCTCCACAACCCGAAAGTTATGAGTTGGATTAAGGCCCAACCTCTCCTTGTTTTACATAACGGGAGAGAGGGGCAGAGACAGGGAAAGAGACAGACAGACAGGCAGACAGAAACAGAGACAGAAACAAATACAGACACAGAGACAGACAAACAGGTAGACAAACAGACACAAAGTATTAAGGGCATGTAGGGAAGAGCTTAGTATGCCCTTAGCAAATATGTTTAACATATTAAAAACGGGTGTAATACCAGAATCCTAGAAGATAGCGAATGTGAAATCGATTTTCAAGAAGGGAGATAGATCAGTATCCTCTAACTACCGTCCAATCAGTTAAACATCAATTGTAGGCAAATTTTTAAAAGCAATAATTTCAAACTCTATACGAAATCACCTGGAGAAGCACAAATTGATCAATGATTCCCAACATGGCTTTACAAGTTGGATTTCATTTCTGACTAATCTATTAACATTCCTTTTAACTGTTTTCGAATCAGTGGATGATGGGTACGATTATGATGTGGTAAACCTCGACTTCAGCAAAGCCATCGACAGAGTCCCACACGAAAGACTAACGCGAAAAGTGGAGGCTCATGGAATTGGAGGACATATTCTAAAATGGATTAGGGCGTGGTTACAGGACAGGAAAGAGCGAGTAAGCACTAATGGCACTGAATCCGATTGAGGTAACGTCACTAGTGGAGTACCCCAAGCCTCAATACTTAGACCATTACTATTTATTATATACACAAACGACATAGTTATATAGGCGTAGACAGCAACAAGGGTAAATTTGCTGATGACGCTAAAATAGGGCGTGTAATTATATCTGGCGAGGACTCCGCAAAACAATAGGAAAATCTATAAAAAAAAATTCACATGGTCTGAAAAATGGCAGATGAAATTTAATAAGGACATGTGTAAAGTATTTAGTCAAGAAGATGTAAACAGAGAAACCAGATATCAGATGAACAACGTTGTTATAGAAAAATCCGACTATGAGAAGGATTTAGTAGTAATGATAAATAGGAATCTTTAACCAAATCAACAAGTGTATATGCTCGAAACAAGGCTAACGAAGTTCAGTACTTGGCTTCATACAAAGGGGTGTTAGTTACAAAATTAGAGAGGTAATTCGAAACTATATCTTGCGTTTGTGAGACCTCTCTTGGATTACGCAGTTCAGTTCTGGTCATCGTACTACACAACAGATATAGAATCCCAAGAAAGAATTCAGACGAGAATGACAAGACTAATCCTGGGCATTAGGAACCTTGAGTATAGAGACAGGTTAAAGCATCCTCATTTGCACTCCTTCGAGAGACGTAGAGTGAGGGCCATATGATCAAGGTGTATAAATGGAAGTCAGGGTTCAACAAAGGTGATTTAACAAAGGTGCTCAAACTATCCAACCAGGAGCAAACTCGTAGCAATGGTTTTAAATTAGATAGATTTAGATTTAGGCGCGATATACAGTAGGTAAACATTGGTTTGGAAATGGAGTAGTGGATGAGTGGAACAAGTTACTAACCATCATCATTAACCCGAATACGCTGGATAGCTTCAAACATAGGTTGGGTGGAAATTTGTGGGATATGGGTTGGGTGTAAACGGGACTGCCCAGTATGGGCCAATAGGCCCGCTGCAGTTTTTTTCCACTCTTATGTTCTTTTTAAGTAATAAGTCATTATTGTCTAATGTATATTTTCAGCCTTCGGGGTGCAGAACTTTGTCAATAAACCGTTGATTATTATTATTATTATTATTATTATTATTATCATTATTATTATTATTATTATTATTACATACATACATACATACATACATACATACATACATACATGCATACATAAAAAGAGACTAACAAACATAGAGAGAGAGAGAGACAGTCAGATAAACAGACAAAGACAGACAGACAGACAGAGGAAGAGCGAGACAGAAACACACACACACACACATATATATATATATATATATATATATATATATATATATATATATATATATATATATATATATATATATATATATATATATATATATATATATATATATATATATATATATATATATATATATATATATATATATATATATATATATATATATATATATATATATATATATATATATATATATATATATATATATATATATATATATGTAACCGGTCGGAATTTACTGGACTTTATTTTCTCACTTGACTTGGGGTTTATTAAAGATTATTAGATGGTAATGGCAGTGGAAGCGCCCCTTTGAGAAAAATCCCGAACCAGCACAAGAACACTTAAATCTACTAAACAAAATGACTTGTCCGTGACCCGTGGAAGGATAGCGTCTGTGACTGGGATGAATGAGACACACTGTAAAATTTACACTTATATTCCCTCCAACACTACAAACACAATCAAATAATGGTGCACCAATATGGGCACTTTTTAACCTGAACTTAACCCACTACTCTGGGGAATAAAAGTTATACATGATATCGGAATTATAAAGAAAAATTTAATGCATTAAAGGAATTAAATCACAGTATCACTCTGGTTCCACTTAGTGAAATAAACATTCAAAAAACAATACTATCAAAATTATTTAAAAAATATTAAACTACACACGTCAAGATAATATCAGTAACTAAAAAATGGTATTAACTACACACAAATATATTGTCACTATTATTGATATGTTACTGGGTTCACCAATGCCCGTGAACCATGCTTCACCCAACTCAACATACACCCGTAATAAGGGAGATAAAATGTTTCTCTAGGTATCCCCTAGACTCCTGGTCTCAGTGTGACAATTAATTTACTCAGATAGCCTCAGTGTACTCTCAGTGCGTCCATGGGCAGGAAGAGAGACTTCCAGCAGGTGTCTATGGCCAGTAGGTAACACTTCTTGCTGACCGAGGACACGTGGTGTTGTGCACCCACGTGGTAAGAACTGATCACCCACTGCTGATGCTGGTCCCGTGTCGTTTTAGTTGTCGGGAGCACTCGTTCACTCAAGAGATCCTTTGCTACCCCGCTAACCAGTGACAAGCCTACACTGATCGTTCCGAAGGCGACAATCGCCAAGCCTCAATCATCAACGGCAGTCTCAAACGGCAGTCAGTCTCTCTCAGCCAATTTCTCGCAGTCAATTGGGTTCTGGCGGAAACCCTGAAATGAACTCACTGTTAGCTCTAGTTAACTTTATCACTGCCCTATCTAAACCCTGTCTGAGATTGAATGAGACTTACTTGTTATACTGCAATAGCGCAGCACAGGTGACTAAACCACGTGACTATTTCTGTGGACGGACGCGCAGGGATGTCCTGTAGGTCCAATCGCTTTCACGTGACTGAGGACCAGCCAGCGTCGCGTCTCTCCAAGGCGCTAGCTTAGGCCTACGTGACATATTTTCCGCCTAACTAATAACTCCTTGGGACACCCGTAACATTATTCAGACTGATAAACGATCTATAATAATTCCAAATTCAATAATAGTCCCTTAACTTCATGAATCGCATCATTATTAATTCGGCAAATTATATTTAATATCATATAGGCCTAGTTCCACAACCTCCCACTATGTGCGGGGAGCGCTCTCTTCCCTCAGACGACCTTGAAAGCTCAGTATCGCCAATGGCGCTGCATTTGAAATTACTCTGAAATTTCTGAATATTACATATATATATATATATATATATATATATATATATATATATATATATATATATATATATATATATATATATATATATATATATATATATATATATATATATATATATATATATATATATAGGGAGAGATAGACGTCTGGTTGCTTCCTCTCCTCGCTCCACAATCCTCTCGGCCGTTCGAGCTGTTAAGCTGCATGATCAAGGACCTTAAGACCATCTGTAGTTAACACTGGTGTCTGGGCGTGAGTCTACCTTGTGTGATGCCTTTTGTAGAGGTGGTGGTGTGGTAGTAGGGGTAGTAGTGGTAGATGTTAGTTATGGTTGTAATAGTAGTTGGTAGTAGAAGTGGTTTGTTAGCATTGGTGGTGGTGTGGAAGTAGCGGTGGTGTGGCAAGAGTGGTAGTGTGATAGTAGAGGTGATGTCATAGTAGTGGTGGTGTGATAGTAGTGGTGGTTTAATAGCAGTGATGGCGTGATAGTAGTGGTATTATTGATAGATGGTAGTAGAGGTTGTTTGATAGTAGTGGTCGTGCAATAATAATGATGGTAATGTGGTAATAGTGGCAATTTAGTAGTAGAGGTGGTATGGTATTATTGGTTGTGGTATGATAGTAATGGTGATTCGCTGTAGTGGTAGTTTGATAGTAGATGTGGTGTGATAGTGGTAGTGATGGTGTTGAAGTAGTCGTGGTGGTAATTGTGGTAGTGGTGTTGATAGTACTGGTGGTAGTGGCGGTGTACTAATAGTGGTGGTGATAGTAATAGTATTGGTATTAGTGTGGTTACTGTGGTATTGATGGAGTTGATGGTAATGATACAGGTTCTTATTACTAGCTGCTACTTCACACACACACACACACACACACACACACACACACCTGATATCGGACAACTATAGACACACACCTGGCTGAAGGCGATGTAGAGCGGCTTGTTAGGGAGAATCCAGGTGACAGTCTCGTAGCAACCAGGTACAGTGAGGGACCCGTCGTAGGTGAGGTACTGCTCAGTGGAGGGCAGTAAGTCACTCACCCTCAGCTCTTGCACCCCGGACGACGACCCTGCAAGGAGCACAGAGAGCAAGAATTATCTCGTTTCTGAAGGGTAAGAATAGTTTGAATTAGAAGGGCAAGACTGAGAACATACAGGGACAAAGGCACAGAGGGCAAGATTGAAGTCGTATAATTATGAGGAGCAAGAATTGCTTTCATGTAAAGGGCAAGAATTAACTCGGACCTGAAGGAGGAGACACAAACTCTGGGATGAGAGCTATCCATTAATCTATCTATCTATCTATCTATCGATCTATCTATCTACATTCTCAGGTAGACGGAATATAACCTATGCCTTAATGCTTGCCACAATAGTCAATACATCTATATAATATCGAATTCATGTCCAATATACCTACCATCACGAAGGTCATAATCTATTATATAAATGGAAGCGTTGTTTTGTTGCATCCAATATGCGATGTTCAGTTGAATAGTTAATAAGTTATATAAGGGATGCGAATACTACTTTTGATTTTCTGTTTCATACGAAAGTATATATATATATATATATATATATATATATATATATATATATATATATATATATATATATATATATATATATATATATATATATATATATATATATATATATATATATATATATATATATAAATATTTATATATTTTATCAAAAAAAGGACCGGTATATCAGTGGTCTGTACAGATTTTGGGTAACAAATATTTACTTGATCAGCTGTTTAATTTTAAACGCTGAGAAAGTGAAGAATGATGTCACTTATTATTATTATTCTTTATTTATTTTTGTATAATTAAGAACTAAACACTGCAGGTCCTGTTAATGGGAAATTCTTAATGGTGGCAGAGTGGCTGACCTCATTCAGATGTGGTTCATTCAACTTTCACCAGCATTGAAGCATAACGTTAAATAAGCAACAATTAATAGGTTGAGTGATACTGGTGAAAATAATAACATTTAACGGAGAATTTCGGTAAAACTACACGCACGCACACAACCTATCACTCTGACATACGCACATACAGAAGAGCTAATATAAACCAACAAACACACACACACACACACACACACACACAGAGACACACACACACACACACACACACACACACACACACAATCTCATATAAACTAAACTAACAACACACACTGTACGTACACATAGATTTGTATATATATATATATATATATATATATATATATATATATATATATATATATATATATATATATATATATATATATATATATATATATATATATATATGCACACTATTAAATATTTCAGTAACCTAGGTAGCATCGGCCGATATGATATTCTAAATCTTACTCCCCTCCAATACTTTACGTCGATATAAGAGTTGTTATGTACAAAAAATTTACGTCCTCTACCGATATATCGGTCGTAATTTGTAGAGCTTTCCCATTTGTGCCGAAACACTCGCTATTTACAGCGGCGGCACAACAACTTTTTGTCCCCTGACCTGTAGCAGCGAGCTGAGTCCGGTGTTCGGGAACGCATTACAGGGAAGATTTTACCAGGTGGTTTGGGTAATGCATTTCCCGGATATAAGTGGAGTTCACATAATGTATTCCAAGGATGATTTTAATTGGTGATCCAGATTAAATTTCTAGTTTAGGATTGAGTCCGGTGTCCGGCTTAATGATTTTACCTCAAAAAATAATACACACACACACACACACTCACACACATACACACACACACACACACACACACATGGTAACAAAGCTCAGGGGTATACTGTATATACGAACATTCTTACAGAAATTCTCAAATTGATAAGCTTGTGGGCAATTTCGTGGTACATGAATCAACAAGATGATGTTCATTTGGTAGTCGACGAGCGTACAGGTGTCCAGGACTTTTCTGACAAAACATAAGTATAGTACTGGTGGTGTCCTTTGTCATACATGATGTACGTACAAACAGATACACACATGTACACATACTGTATACGATGGTGTACGTGTTCAGTCCTGAGAAATTTGATATTATTATTAGTAGTAGTATGAGTAGTAGTAGTAGTAGAAAATAACAGGGGGGATGGTGTGCAAAAAGGCACTGAAGACTCAGGGAGGTACCGGCCCTTCAGGTCTGGATGCATGCAAACGGTTGGAGAGTCATTCTCAGCACTAACAAGTTTGGCCCTGTAGCAAGTGATCTCTGCACTACCATTGCGGTCCTTGCAAGAAAGCTGGCATCCTCGTGCTGCCAACACCTCCATGCTTTGACGGCCTGCCGCCTCAATTCCCTGGATAAGAATCCAGGATGTAGGTCTATAGGGGTGGGGGAAGTGCTGAGGCGGATCATCGGAAAATTAATAATGGAGGTGGTAAAGGATGATGTCAGGGCAGCAGCAGGAAACCTGCAAGTTTGTGCTGGCCACCAGGCTGGAGGAGAAGTTGCCATTGACGCCATGAGAACGACATTTGAGCAGCGTGATTGGGTGGCCGTTCTCCTGGTGGACGCTTCAAACGCATTCAACATACTTAACCGCAAGGCCGCACTGCACAACATCAAGATCAAGTGTCAAAGCTTTGCAATGTATGTTGAAAACTCCTATAGGAATCCACCAGACCTCTATATAGTAAACAACAAGGCTCTAAGAGGTGATACCATCATACAGTCAACCGAGGGAACAATGCAGGAGGACCCTGTTGCAATGACAATGTACGCAATAGGCCTATCCGTGCTCCAACATACAATAAAATTTGAAACAACTGACGTCAAGCAAGTGGCGTATGCTGATGACCTTACAGGAGCAGGAAAAGTGAGGACATCAAAAAGTGGTGGGACTTGGTAACATTACGAGCCCCACAAATAGAGTACCCCCCAAACGCCAGCAAGTCCTTCCTCATTGTGAAGCCAGCACATTTTGAACGGGCAATGGAGGTGTTCGATGGAAGTGAGGTCAAAATAACAAAGGATGGCCAAAGACACCTAGGTGCAGTAATCGGCACGACGGACTTCAAGACAGAGTACTTAACGGGAAAGGTGATTGAGTGGTTTAGGTAAATCCACGCTCTGTGTGAGATTGCTAACACAGAGCCACATGCAGCTTTTGCGGCATTCACCCATGAAGTCAAGCATCGCTGAAACTACCCGATGAGCACTATCCCCTCCTCCATCCTCTGGAAGAAGCTATCATCATCAATTTCATTCCCAAATTAGTGAAACACCCTCACTTAACCCCAGCATAATGATCACTCCTTGCACTACCACCGAGACTGGGAGGAATGGGATTGACCAATCCAGAAGAAATAGCTGCCACCGAACATCAAAACTCAGTTAAGCTCACGGCAGCCATCACGGACCATACAATAGCTCAGAACGCAACAGGGGAGGTGGACACCAGTGAAGTAAACAAGATTCGAAGGTCCATTACGACAGAACGACGGCATGGCCAAAGTGATAAGTTGCAGCAACTGTTGCAGCAAGTACCAGAGAATTTGAAAAAAAAAGCAGCTATAGCCCAGGAGGTGAGCACCTCGAACTGGTTAACTACGTTACCGATAAGGGCAAATGGTTTCAGTCTCAATAAACAAGAATTTACAGATGCCAATACTCTAAGATACGGTATGCCAGTAGAAGGTTTGCCCTCTCAATGCGTGTGTGGCTCTTCCTATGACGTCGATCAAGCCATGGTGTGCAAGAAAGGGGGCTTCATATACATGAGGCATGACGAAGTAAGGGATCTCACAGCAAATATGTTGATGGAAATCTGCCGTGATATCAGGGTAGAACTGACCCTCCTTCCATTGGACGGTGAGAATTTCCAACAAAGGACTTCAAACACATCCAACGCAGTCCATGTTGACGTCAGTGTTCGAGGATTCTAGACGCGGGGACAGCGAGCCTTCTTCGACATTAGGATTTTTTATCCTATGGCCACATGTCACCATAACATAGCTCTCGATGCTGCACACAGGAGGAACGAGAACAACAAGATAAGGGCATACAGGGAGAGAATTCAGAACGTTGATCAAAGCAGCTTCACTCCTCTAGTGTTAACAACCTCTGGTGGGATGGGACCAAGTGCAAGATGCTTTTACGCCAGACTCGTGGAGGTGATATCCGAACAGAAGCAGCAGCCCAGAAGTTATGTTACAGCCTGGATGAGATGTCGACTGTCCTTCTCTCTCCTTAGGTCGGCTTTGCTCTGCCTTAGGGGAACGAGAGCATCAGCCCCAAAACCGGCAACAGTTGCAGATATTGACTATGAGGCAACAGTCACTGAATGCCGCATAGATCTGCGGCTCAGCTAACTCAACATAGCTAGGATAACTACTTATGTATTAGGATATTTAACTTTAAGGTAATAAAATGGCGGCGAAGGTATGGCTATAAGGCGAGGATGGAGGCCATGTTGAAAAAAAAAGTCGTAGTAGTAGTAGCAGTAGTATTGCTGTTATTGGTTATTATTATTACTATACCGACACATCATAAGCATACACACATACCTTCTTACATAAATCCGCAAATATATATTTTCGCTTATACTGTATACTTCACACACACACACACACACACACACACACACACACACACACACACACACACACACACACACACACACACACACACACACACACACACACACACACACACACACACACACACACACACACACACACACACACACACACACACACACACACACACACACACACACACACACACACACACACACACACACACACACACACACACACCCACCCACTTGAGTGAGTGAAGTCATGTGAAGTTCCTCATAACGCCATCTGCGAGGGAATTACTACACCACATGATGCCCCTCATAACACCATCTGTGAGGGAATTACTACACCACATCAGGCCCCTCATACACCATCTGTGAGGGAATTACTACACCACATCAGGCCCCCCATAAGACCATCTGTGAGGGAATTACTACATCATCAGGCCCCCCATACACCATCTGTAAGGGAATTACTACACCACGTCAAGCCCCTCACAACACCACCTGTGAGGGAACTAGTACTCC